CATTCACTGCGAGTTATGGGGATCAGCAGATGTTACTGTCATGAGGTGGTGATGGACTACTTGAAATCATACTGAAACCACCGAGAAAGAAATTAATTTCCCCAAATTCGCCTCTTATATCTTAAATAAATGATGATGAAAAAAAAGTGCCAATCAGAATATTGCCAGTGAAAAGCTCTCTGGACTTCACTGGGATCCTCCTGCCAAGACTCGTGCTCTGCTTTCCAGTTCCAGTCTGCTAACAGCAGAACTAAGTGTGTAATGAACACCAAAATTTTGAGAAAGGACATGTTTATAGGTTGTGAATTGTCACCTTACTCCATGGTAATATATTCACAATATAGAATTAAGAATCATGTTTCCCACATGATTTAGGATGTGAGAGCCCATGCAAACTCCATGTGCATGTGTGGAATTATGAGTGAAGGGAGACTCTGACTCCTTTAAATGTGCAACATCATATACCAGCCACTAGACTGTATTTGTATATTGTCATATGTATAGTGTATACCATCTGCATGGGCATGAAGAGTGCAGTGCAAAGTGTGTATATATATATGTGTGTGTGTATATATATACATATACAGTGTGTGCACATATATGCTCATTGTCTATTTATTTTATTTTTATTTACCAAAGCATTTTAGAATCAATATATTTGTAATGCAGACATAGCATACACAGGAATTTAGGAGTTATTGCTAACAAGTTTCGCTTAGTTGATAAATTCAGCTTTAGCATGTTAAAAAAAAAACCAAAAAAAAAAGTCCAGTTCCAAAGGAAGTTGTCATCTAAGGAACTGAATGTGTAAAGGTATCGAGTGCCAGAGATACTTGGACAAAATACATAATATTACCAGTGCAGTACTTTCTGCTTTTCATCCTAAGAGAAATTTATCTTATACCATGTGGTCATCTTTCAGTAAAGGTATATTTGGCACCACAGCTAGGCATAGCAAAAATATTGCAATAAATGTTCAGGTAATAAATGAACAGGCCTTGAGTCTCCCATAGCAATCATGAAAAAAACTAAACAGCTGAAAATTCTGAAATTTTAGGAGGCACATCTCAAGTTCTTCCATAGATTTCCATGCAGTGAAGGGCCTGCACATCCTGCAAACCTGCTGCTCCTCCAGAGCTGCTCTTGTGTGGTACAGCTTCTTTGCTTCTCAGTTACTGGATTTTCTACCGTCATATCCTGGAGGACTGGGGGAAGCAACCAAAAAAAAAAAACCTACTATTGGTGTGTTCCGAGACTTTGTGTGTTTCAAGGCTGCGGCGTGGTGGGAAGCATATCCATCATGGGAAACATGAGGAGTGTATTCTCTCTCCAGTATCCCTGGAGCACAGCAGTGCCCGGACAGCACACCACACTTCCCCCTCGTAGCTTTTTTGGCTAGAAAAGCGCGAACGTCGTTAAAGTGAAACCAGAGGGTGAGAACTTCTGGAAATGGTTGGGAAGCCCCTTTGATAGGGAAAGAAATCCTGGAGTTAGAAAGAAGTCCGCGGGGTTAGCGGCGGGTGGGCGACCGCTGCTGCGGGCCTCGTATCCGAGTCCAGCAACCTCCGCCGAGCCCGGGGCGAGGGGCGCGGGGGCGGCGAGACCCGCAGTCCCCACCCGGGACCGCCCGGGCCGCGTCCCGCGTGGCCGCCGGCAGCCGTGGGCAGGGGGTGAGTCGGGGCAGCCCGCTGGTATTAAACTTTAACCCTCTTGTCAGCGAGCCAGAATGCGAAAGAAGGGCTTGTCCTGTTCGGTGTTAACCTCAACTCCTCCGGGGAAGATTAACTTCGGAGCCCCGGGGCGAGGGAGCGCGGTCCGTGCGCGATGGAGTCCGGCAGAGGCTGTGGCTGAGCAGTGTCGGACACGGCAAGGGCAGAAATATTGGCTAGCGGTGGGAAATACAGCATCCTGGCTGCTCCCTCTTTTTTGAAGCAGCGTCAGTGCTTCAGTGCTTTGTCCTGGGTCAGAACTCCAGAAGTCTGAAATTACTCTTTTTCTGGACATAGATGTGAGCCAAACTCCGGCACTCAGCCGTTCTACGGGAGACCGTGTCTGGCAAACGCCTCACTGGTCTGTTCTGTTTGAACACCCAACTTAGAGCTATACCTACATACAGCCCCTTTGGGGTGATCCGTTATTTTGTCTATGCACCTGGATGCAGGTGGGGTTTTTTACGAGCCTAAAATGAATTGTGAAAGTCCAAATTCAGGATATTCATTTTCCCAGCCAGTTGGATCGATCTCTGCACAGAGGCTTAAGGGTACCAATGCCCGTGCGGGAGCCCAGCTCTCCGCAGATCAGGAAGAAAAACGCATATTGAGATGCGAATTTCTTTCACAGCCCTTCCAATCTGTGGTTCACTTTTTAACTTTTGTTTGTTTGTTTTTCCTTCCCTCCAGAAAGTATTAGTTACTGCTGCAAAGCATTAGAAAGTTGTAGCCACTCGGTCCACGCAGTGCTGATTTCGTTTCTGGTTATCTGCAAAATGAGCTTTAAGCCAATTTCGTGCTTCAGGCTAAAGAGAAGGATTCGTATTTCCCTCCTAGATGCGTGGCATTCCTGGAATCTCTTTGTCAGCTTGCCGTAGGATTTGCCTGCAAACTCTCTCCAAAATTTGTATACAACGGTTAAGAACGAGGTAGGATTTCTGAACCATCGGAATATTCTGGCTGGAAAGAAAAAGAGATATCATCTTTCACTGATAAGTCAGTATTAAACTACTCAGAACCTTGTTCCCATTTAACCCAGAGAACCACCGTAGGTAGCAAAATACGCATTTCCTGCTGATTTCTTTCCTTCACTGCTCTGAGAAAATACATCTTCAGGAGAAGCGGTACTTTCTTCGCTAATCTTAGGAAAGTTCTTACACGATTCCCTGAACTTTGGCACGTTTGGATCTTCTGTGCCACTTCAACCCCTCCACCCCGCTCCTCCTTTAACATGTAAAGGCTATTGCAAAATGACGGGAGGTTGGTTGAACTCTGTGCCCGGAGGTGAGCTCTGCCACCCTCCCCGCCAGCCTCCTCTTGGCGTTAAGCCTGGAAAGCAGAGCTCGCCCGTCCCCGGCAGCGCGGCCCCCTGTGCGGGGGCTGCGGGGCCGCTGCTGCGGGTGCTGCCGGCGGGGCCGCGGCCGCCGCTCCGCGGCCGCCCCGAAGAGGCTCCCCGCACCCTCCCCGCTCCGGCGGAGCGAGCTGGCGCGAAGATGTTTATCCTGAGATGGAAAATGGGTTGTTGAAAAACAAGCCATGTGCAAATAGTTTAATTTTCCGTTTTGATGCTTATCTTTGTCTCCCGAATTTCATCGGAGAGGCTTTAATTGGCGTGTGGGTAATAGTTCCTAAATAATCCCTTATTAGATGACTTCAGACGAGTTGTGAACCAATAACGTCTTAGTCCTAAAAGTGAAAGTAGAATTTGAAGGCTCAGGTCAGTTTTTGTCAAAGGGCTCATTTGAGCATCTTTTAGTTTGCTGAAAAAGCTAATTAAAGAACGTTTGAAGGTTAAAGTCATTATTCCGTGCTGTTGTCGTGCTACAAGTGAGCCGAGTTTTGTGAAAACACAAAGGGCAGAAGTCACAGAGGTGGATTACTGTCAGTCCAGGCTACAGAGGCACAGAGAACTGTGGCATTAATTCCTATAGAAAGGTAGACAAACACAGTCACTGACTAACAACTTTCCCGCAGAGCCCTATTGTCTAAGCACTTTCTTCTGCTTTGGGGCTCTCTTCGAGTTGCTACAGTCGTAACCAGATCCCAAACTAGGTAACCGGGCGACTTTCGGGCGCAGAATTTTTGACCTGTGAAACAATTTCCAGGACCAAAAAAAAAAAAAAAAAAAAAAAAAAAATCGTTGTGGGTCTTGGCGGTTCCCTCTAACGTTTATTTCCCTAACATTTCCCTCTAACATTTATCAGCGGTGCTAATTTATTCATTACTTGGCAGAAAGTTAGCAACGCACCAGAACTCTGCTGGAGCTCGCAGCACCCTCTGCACTCGCCGGCTCCCGGTTGCCGCTGCCCGCTGCGCTCCGCAGCCCGCGGTCCCGGCGGGGGCACACCCGAAACCCCGTTTTTGGGGGCGTCTCTGGAGGCTCTGGGGAACTTTGCGGGCGGCGGTGGCGCCGCGCAACAGCCGCGCAAAACCCGCGCAGCAGCCGCGCTGCGCGGGATCTGCGCGCCGCGGAGGGTGCTGGAGCGCAGGGACACGCTGCGAGCCGGAAAAATCCCGTGGGCTAATCCCGGCGGCTGTTAGCACCAGTTTGCGCCTTTGTGTGTGCGTGTGCGTGGACAGCAGATTGCAAAGCAAGGCACACAAAGATAGGCGCGCACAGGCACAGCCGGGGCTGCTCAGCCTCGCCTCTCCATCGCCCGCTGCCTTCGCGCTGAGCCCCTTTGCCCCGCTCGCTCATAAAGTCTGGATTTTTAGGTCTGGCCACGACTACAGATCTCCCCAAATTCAAAGAAACAGATGTTTGGGCTGATTATGGATGGGGGGAGGGGAGGAAGGATCCCTGCAGCTGCAACTCAAAATATATATTGATAAAATATTTCAGTGGTAATAAATACGCAGAGATCAGCTCGACCTTGCGAGGTCTTTATTTTAATTTTTTTTCCCCCATATACAAAAATCTTTATCAAACCTCTATTCTATGGCTTCAATAAACAGAACCCATTACCTCACGGCAGCTTTTGTTGGCCTGTATACAAGCGAGAACAAAATGGTTATTCAGGAGAACGCTTTCGATTTTTATTGTGTGTAGTATGCACAAAGAGCAGTGTTATTGTATTAAAAAGAACCATCTGTAGCAGAAACAATGGCATCAAATTATCTTTGAATACCCACTGCAAAAATATAAAGCTTTTTTATTATTCTTCTGCTGTACGGTGGGGGACAGAGAAGTGACTTTTTTGTTGTTGTGGGTGCATTCTTATAACACACACACACAAAATCAGCCATTTGGATTTTTTAAGCCATAAACGATTTTTTCCCCTCTTGTTCCAGGGACTGCAGTTAAAAGCTAGGGCTAGGACTTGGAGGATGTGTAGGCAAACGGAAGGAGAGCCGAGGGAAGAAAAACCGAAATGGATTCATTCTCTGTCCTGGATGGAGGAGGAGAGGAGAGGAGAAGAGAAGGGGATGTGCGAGCTTCCTTCAACTGCCTCTGTCCGGTGAAAAGTGCTCAGACCCCCGGGGCTGCGCCGGGCTCCGGAGTCCGCACGGACTTTCGCGTTGAGCTGCCAATCAAACCGCTCACAGCCACCACCCTGCTCTGGCACCGACATGTAAGTAGCTGCAGCACAACTTTGACATTCACAGTTTTTTTTCCCCCCTCCTCCCCCGTGACCTTTAAAATGATCTGCAAATGTAGCTTCCCACCTACGACCCGCCGCCCCGAGCTCCGCCGCCTTAACCTCGGGGAACTCGCGCGCGGGTTTTGGGCTCGGCTGAAATTGCGCGGCCGCGCAGCGCCGGGCGCAAGGCTGGGCAGAGGCGCTCCCGGTGCACAGGCTGCCTCTGCCCTGCCTTCCCCTCTCCCCGGGAGCACACGGCCCGCGGGGAGCGCTGGAGCGGAGCCGGGAGGCTCCCCCGCCGCGCCCCGGGGGTGTTTCAGGCGGGGCCGCTGTTTCGCGGAGCAGCGCGCAGCTCCCGCCTGCGCAGCGCGCATCGCTCCGGGCGGGGTGCACGGAGCCACCGCGACGCTCCCGGCGCTCCGCCGCGGGTTCCCCTGTCCGGGAGGTGGGTCCGAAGGGCCGGGGCCGTGCGCGGGGCGCGGAGCGGCCGCCGCGGGGGTTCCCGGGCGCGCAGCGCTGGCGGAGAGCCCGCGGCCGCCTCTCTCTGCCGCCCCCTGTGGGCGGCGCGGCGCGTTCCCGGCACGATCCCTCCGGCGGCGCGCGGCGTTCCCGGCCCCATCCCGGGAAAAAGGGGGATCAGCCCGGCGGGGCTCCCCGGGCCCCGCACGCCCAAGAAGGGGGTACACCGAGGGGGAGAGGCGGCGCATGGCCGGGCAGCGCTCCGCTGATAATAAATCATCCATACGTTTGACTGCCTTCGGATGCACTTGGGGCTGGGAAAGGACCGATTTTGACACCTGGGCTCATTATAATACCGTTTAAAGGGAAGCTCTTTTTAGTTACAGTTAGCAAAGTTGAGGTTGGATTTTCCCCCCTCTCTCCCCCCCCGCCGTCCCTTTTTTTTTTTTTTTTTTTTTTTTTTTGGTAAGAATTTGGTAGATAAAGGTTAATCTTGGGCTGAATGATAGAGCTGTGATTGACAAGAGAAAAGGTGTTGAGGGCAGGTCGAGCTGTCTTATTTACAGCCCACTGCTTGCTATAGAGCCTTTGTTAGGACTGGAAAGCTAATTTAGTGCTGATCAAAAGCACCACAGAGTTAAAGGACTGGTAATGACTGCTAATTTCATTTCAGCCTCATACATCCCCAACTGCTGTAATTAAAGACGTGCTATTTAAATACAGGTGAAGGGGTTTTGTAGTAGGGGGAAAGTGGGTAGCTGGTTACAATTTTATTTAGTGTTAATATGGTAAAAGTCCAACATTTCATTTATTATTTTAGCGATTTGGGTTTTTTATGCTCTTCTGCCCCTGCAGAGCGGGGCTGGGCGTCTGGGCCGGCCGTGCAGGGGCAGGGTGAGGACAGCGCGCTGCAAGAGAGGGATGCGAGCTCCCTGCTAGCGTGGGGTTATCTTATTTTTAATTATTGCCATCAAACGGCAGTCAGGAAACATCGGGAGCGCTAGGGAGAGCAGAGACGGAGGGACACGTGTCAGCTTTTAAGTGCCTCTGCGGAAGCTCGGGTCCTTATATTATTATTATTTTTAATTAAATTATTTTAGCACTCCACGGCTGGTTCGCTGGCTCTGAGACGATGTAATTTCACAACCCCATATAACAGTTTCTTTCTGGGGAAACATCAAAGGATTGAAAGCTCTACATTTCCGTAGTTGGTTAAAATTGATAAAAAAAAAAAAAAAAAGGAAAGAATTTAGCCTTTAATCTCTTTTTATCCACGACGACTAAAGATCTGTACTCGACCCCGCTCGGCTCCGGGCTCCCCAGTTTCCCCCCGGTCCCTCCCGGACCCCCCCGGGCTCCCCCTGCTCCTGCGGCCGCTCCGGGCGGGAGGCGGCGCCCCCTGTCGGCCGCGCCGGGGGTGCCCGCGGGGAATTCCGCGGGAGAGACGCGCCCGCGGGTGGAGCGGGAGCGCCGGGACGGGACCCATGGCGAGGCGAGGAACCCGCGAATGGAAGCGTCTTGGAGTCTCTGGAGCAGGGGGGTTAAAGTAAGCAACGGTGAGGTGCAGGCAGGGTGAGCGGATAGCCCGGCCCAGGAACCGCGGTCAGGGAAGCCGCCTCCAGCTTGTGGTGTTTGCTCTGTGGATTTACAAACGTGACCAAAAAAAAATAAATAAATAAAAATTAAAATGCCACGGATTTGTTTCTAAGCAGAGCTTCCCGTAAGCCTGGGTCTTATAGAAATGTCGGTGTGTGATGCTCTCCCGAGCCCAGGCAGAGCAGAGGTGCTGCTGCGGGACCGCACCGCCCCGGCGGGCAGCGGGACATCCCCGAAAGAACATCTTCTTTATTGGCAGCGTTAGGCACAAAAATAAGGATTAATTTTTCCTCGTTCCCAACTTCGGTGTTCCAGTGCTGTCAGCAAATGCCAGCCTTTCAGAAGCTCCTGCTTGTGTTTTCCTCCGAAGGTGTCTTAAGTAAGTCAGTGTTGACAGGTGTTGCTTGTGAGCAGCCTTGAACGTTTCCTTTTCATTAAGGAAACGTTTTCGAAAATGGCATATGTTTAAAACCCTAAGCCATAAAGTCGTATCAATTCCCCCCTCAAAAAAAAAAAAAAAAAAAAGGAAAAAAAAAAAAGAAGCAAAATAAACACCCCCTCCCCCAATTCTGCAAAAGGAAGAAGAGTTATTTTAAGTGAATGCCTGGAGTGCGGTTTTATTTCCTTGCTGTGGAGATGACAGATTTAAAAGAAACCTGGTGATATAAAACGATTAACCAAAATATGTGACGGGCTGCATTGTCACTAACTTTTTAGATTAATTCTCTACTTATTTTATAAGCATCTGCGTAGCTCTCTGTAGTGCATTTAACGGCGGTATTTGCGAGTTGTGGTAGTACCCAGCACGGTTTATGCATCTTGCGTGCGAAGAGAAAGACTAATGGAAACCAAATTATTTCTGCCAAATTGGGGTTATTTTGTATCTTCTGTTGACAGCCTGGATGGAAGTCATAACGCCACAGTTTCTCTATTAGAGGAACCCTATGGTTGTTGGTCTCACAATAAACTTTTCACTTTAGAAATTATATTGGAATAGATTTTTATGAAATATTATTGTTTGTCGCGCTGAGTATACTGACTCCATTCTTCCAGTTTGATCTCCGCTCGAGACTCCTAATAAGGCAATTCTGTAGTAAGAGCGCCCAAAATAAAGACATGGCATTTTCTATAAATAATAGCAAGAGCCCTGCACAGATTTCCTGCACAACGGAATTCCCAGATTTCCTCTACTGTTTCTTTAGTTAGCATGTGTTCCGTATATATAACTCCGAAATTAAGAAAAAATATACATCTGTATAGATCTGCCAAGCTGGTTATAAACAAGAGATATTATATGTCAATTACCACAGGAAACGGAAAAAATGCAGAGCAGTTGGTACACACGGTTTAACGTCAGGAGGCAAAAAATTTAGTGACTCCTGTCGAAAGGTGAATGATTAACCCGGTTCCAGGAGAGGGGCTGTTAGTCCTCCCCTTAGAAACAGCAGTTGTGAGGGGGCTGTAAAGGGGTCGTAAACTCCCCCCTCCGAAAGGCAGAAGTTGGCACATAAAGTCGAGGGTCCCGAGTGATCGGTTTAACCAAAATGCGGTTTTCCTGGGGGCTCAGTCCGTAACTCAGCTGCCCGGTTTTATTCCGCGGACTTTACTCCAGGGAGCAAATGCTGTAAATCTGGGATCGGGTCCCAGGCTTGGCAGACAGCTGGCATCAAGGGGGGGTCAGCTCTGTGCTCAGCTGGCAGCAAGAGGGGGTTAGCTCTCTGTTCAGTCTCGTTCATCTCCAGTTGGAGGAAAAGTGCATTTTTAGTTTATTTATGTCTTTTGGAAGGAGGGGTTTTTTGGATATCGGCATTTCCTATATCTCTTTCGAGCAGTGGAAGGGGAGAGTTGAAGAAAAAAACAGAAAAACAACCTCAAATGCCAGTTTCTCACTTCACCTTTTCTTGTTTTTCCCTTGAGCCTGTCCCTGGCACCTGCTGGTCTGAGCACCCGCAGCTCTACCCCTGCTCCTCCCGCTGCTTGAGCAAGCCCAGCCCGAGGGCACCCCCCCAGGTCTTTCTCCTCACAGTCATCTGGACCCACCGGGAAAGCTTCCACAAGGGCAGGCAGGGTGTTTGGACAAGTCCCGCTGATCAGTGATTTCCACGGAAAAAGGGTTGTGACACCCCTCGGACAGCACCCCACACCCCAACCCAACCCATCAGCGGTACAGGTCTAAAGCGTTTTTCTTGCCGCCGCTGGTCGCAAATACATCCGTGGCCTCGGCCCGGGTGGAGGATGTTCGGGGAATCAGACAGGCCCCCTTTTGCTGCTTTGGAGGAGCCTGATACTCCCTCGCCTCCCTCCCCTGAGCCCGGGCCTCCTCCGGCAAAGGCTCTTTCAGGTCTTCGGATGGAGGACAGTGGATAGACACATGGGAAGTGTTGTTGTTATTATTTATAGCACCGTCTCTCCGCTCCGATTGAGCGCCGTCTAAATATGAATTCACAGTATAGACAGCTAGTCTATAATTTGAATTAAAATCCTCCCAACGAGCCCGTCGCTGGAGAATTCTGAAATCACAAGCCTAAGTTGACACAATGAGCCCATGGTGTCAATAAACCATGGGCGAGATGGAGAGATTGTCACTCCAGACCATAACAGTTCTGAAAGTGTCATTACCGTCTGTCCTGTCAATGAGCTCCAAATTAAGGACTATGAGGAATAGCGAGATAAAAGTCACCGTCTTGGCTCCATTATGGGCGATCGTGTCAGTGATCTGAGAATCACTGGAAAGGACTTTTTTTCCTCTTTTTTTTTTTTTTTTTTTTTTTTTTTTTAAAGTACTTTTCAAACCATGCCTCTGGATGCCAGGGTTTGAGGTGCGCTGAGAGAAGTATCCTTGAAGCACCCCAGGCTGTGCCTCAGGCGTTCCCATTGAAACTGCCAGAGCTTCTTTGGGAAATGGTGTGAATTCAATGGAAGAGCCGGAATAATTC